GCCTAAACGTGAATACAAGTGTGGGCTTCATTATTAGACATGTAGTGTTAAATCCTAAGGAAACTGTGTTTCTGCTCAGTTAAGCAGGACTTGGAGAGTGTTGGGATGGGGAGAGTAAGGGAGAGAAGCAAAGTCAAGGGTGAATCCTGTGGTTTTTTGCTTGGGTAACTGGGTAAACAGTGTGCCATTCAACAACAAAAAAGAGAACACGGAAAGAGAAATAGATTTTGAGAGGAAGATGATGAGGTCAGCTTTGGACATCAAGTTTGAAAAATTCTTTTATTTATTGATTTTAGAGAGAGGGGGGACAGGAGAGAAAAAGAAACATCAACATGTTGCTCCACCCACCCGTGCATTCATTGGTTGCTTCTTATTTGTGACCTGACCAGAAAAACTCTTTAGAGATTAGCTTTAAATAGGAAAAGCAGCAATTCTTCCATGAAATGATAAAAAGAAGAAAGAATGCATGCATACAATAAAATCAGGTACTTGATTTAATGGTTGGAAGTTGAGTTTCCTTCTGACGGCTTAGAACTTCTATTTTCTCTGTGAAGTAGGAGGTGAGGCCATCCGTCCGGAGACAGTAGAAAGGGTCTCTGCAATATAAAGTCATTAGTGGGCCTAAGCCAGTATGACTGGAATCCTTGTAAGAGGACAAGAGACACAGAGAATGGCACACAGGGAGAAGGACATGTGATGAGAGAGCCAGAGAACAGAATGATAAAGCTGTAAAGCAAGAAACATAAGGGTTGCTGGCAACTGCCAGAAGCTAGGAAGAGGCAAGAAATGATCCTCCTCTAGAGCCTTTGGTAGAGCATCGTCCTGCCAAACCCTCGATTTTGGACTTTTAGCCTCCAAAACAATACATTTTTATGGTTTTAAGCCACTTGATTTTTGTTTTGATTTGTCATGTCAGCCCTAGGAATCTAATACAGTTATAAATAGTAGTATTGGAGGGGGGGGGCAGGGTTGAGCACAATAGAAGTTGGTAGCCATATTTGGGGGGTACCAATAGGCCTCTTGCATGATTTTCTCTAATAGTACTCAATAATCTAGATGTAAGGGGTAGATCAAATGGACAATTACAAGGTTGGGGTCTTTCCAGGTGGACAGGATAGAAAGACATTTGAGCAAAGGACTTAATATTGGCAAGAAAATAATTAAAATGACAGACCACATGGTCTGAGCTAGAAAGGAGAGGTAGTAAAGAGAGGAGAGGGTTGACAGATGATAAAGAGGAGACTAAAACTCTGGAGGTCTCAACAAGGTAGGGTGACAGATGTAGTAGGAGTAATGAATAAAAGCTGAAATAATAGGATGATGAGAACACAGAATGACATAAGTTTAAAATTTCAGAATTATACTTCTGGTGATGAGGTCCAGGAATAGTGTCCAGGACACTTCATAGAAATGGAATCGTACTTATACAATATGCAACCTCGTGATTGACTTCGTTCACACAGCAAAAAGTTTTTGAGGGTCATCCACGTTGTAGCATGTATCAGTTTATTCCCTTTTATTGCTGTATAGTAAACCATTTTCTGGATATACCACATTTTATTTAGCCATTCATCAGTCAATGGACATTTGTTTCTACTTTTTAGCTGTGATGAACAGTCATATACAAGTTTTTGTATAAACATGTCTAAATTTATCTTGAATATACACATAAGAATGGAG